AGTTTAACTCGCCAAGACTATGAGACCAGCGTACAAAGTTTAACTCACCAAGACTATGAGTCAGTGTAAAAAGTTTAACTCACCAAGACTATGAGTCAGTGTAAAAAGTTTCACTCACCAAGACTATGAGTCAGCGTACAAAGTTTAACTCACCACGACTATGAGACCAGCGTACAAAGTTTAACTCACCAAGACTATGAGACCAGCGTACAAAGTTTAACTCACCAAGACTACGAGTCAGCGTACACAGTTTAACTCACCAAGACTATGAAACCAGCGTACCAGGTTTAACTCACCAAGACTATGAGTCAGTGTAAAAAGTTTAACTCACCAAGACTATGAGTCAGTGTAAAAAGTTTCACTCACCAAGACTATGAGTCAGCGGACAAAGTTTAACTCACCAAGACTATGAGTCAGCGGACAAAGTTTAACTCACCGCGACTATGAGGACCAGCGTACAAAGTTTAACTCACCAAGACTATGAGACCAGCGTACAAAGTTTAACTCACCAAGACTACGAGTCAGCGTACACAGTTTAACTCACCAAGACTATGAGGCCAATGTACACAGTTAACTCACCAAGACTATGAGACCAGCGTACAAAGTTTAACTCACCAAGACTATGAGTCAGCGTACAAAGTTTAACTCACCAAGACTATGAGGCCAGCGTACAAAGTTTAACTCACCAAGACTATGAGACCAGCGTACAAAGTTTAACTCACCAAGACTACGAGTCAGTGTACAAGGTTTAACTCACCAAGACTATGAGTCAGCGTACAAAGTTTAACTCACCAAGACTATGAGACCAGTGTACAAAGTTTAACTCATCAAGACTATGAGTCAGCGTACAAAGTTTATCTCACCAAGACTATGAGACCAGCGTACAAAGTTTAACTCACCAAGACTATGAGTCAGTGTACAAAGTTTAACTCACCAAGACTATGAGACCAGAGTACAAATTTTAACTCAACAAGACTATGAGTCAGCGTACAAAGTTTAACTCACCAAGACTATGAGACCAGTGTACAAAGTTTAACTCACCAAGACTATGAGTCAGCGTACAAAGTTTAACTCACCAAGACTATGAGACCAGAGTACAAAGTTTAACTCAACAAGACTATGAGACCAGCGTACAAAGTTTAACTCATCAAGACAATGAGTCAGCAAACAAAGTATAACTCACCAAGACTATGAGACCAGCGTACAAAGTTTAACTCACCAAGTCTATGAGTCAGCGTACAAAGTTTAACTCACCAATACTATGCTGCCAGCGTACAAAGTTGAACTCACCAAGACTATGCTGCCAGCGTACACAGTTTAACTCACCGAGACTATGAGACCAGAGTACAAAGTTTAACTCAACAAGACTATGAGACCAGCGTACAAAGTTTAACTCATCAAGACAATGAGTCAGCAAACAAAGTATAACTCACCAAGACTATGAGACCAGCGTACAAAGTTTAACTCACCAAGACTATGAGTCAGCATACAAAGTTTAACTCACCAATACTATGAGACCAGCGTACAAAGTTTAACTCACCAAGACTATGCTGCCAGCGTACAAAGTTGAACTCAACAAGACTATGCTGCCAGCGTACACAGTTTAACTCATCAAGACTATGAGTCAGCGTACAAAGTTTAACTCACCAAGACTATGAGTCAGGTAAAAACAAAGTTTAACTCACCAAGACTATGAGTCAGTGTACAAGGTTTAACTCACCAAGACTATGAGTCAGCATACAAAGTTTAACTCGCCAAGACTATGAGACCAGCATACAAAGTTTAACTCACCAAGACTATGAGACCAGCATACACAGTTTAACTCACCAAGACTATGAGTCATCGTACAAAGTTTAACTCACCAAGACTATGAGACC